TCTGAAAAAGAAATGTGCAAAAAAAATCAGAAAAAATAATAAAATTTAGTGCATTATGTGTGCTATCATGCATAATGATGGTAAATTGCAGAAACCATAAACTGTCTCAACACATCCAACAACAATTGAACAATAAATAAAGCAGAAAAAAAATACTTAATTCAAAGAATTTTGCAACTATCAACTGCGTATGTTGCATAACTTAACACCTTAAACTGAATTCTATTCAAAACATTGATGCACCAATGTTTTTCCACTATTATAGTAAACATTTTTGAACACCAGCATTCACTCGCAACAAAATTAAACTGTTGTAATACGTCTATATTTTACTGTCGCTCAAAAAATCACTTTTCTTATCGTAATTTAAAGTCAATATGAAGCCGTAAAATTTATGCAGCCATTAGACTGTCCACCAGCCCTGTCAGCGTTCTCTCCAATCACCACATGAAGCTTAAAACTCACAGCAGTGAAACAAAAATCATTGCACTAATAAAAGATACAGACACAATCGCAGCAGCCATCAAATTACAATATCATATCAAAAACAACTAGCCTACATAATAAACAATATTACCCGAAACCAAAGAACTTCTTAAGCTTCAACGATGAAACTTTATGTATTGAACACCACAATTGCTACGTTTCTTCCCTTGTGTAGCCTAATAAATAAATAACAAACCCATATCAACCTGCAGCAACTTCGCCAACACCAGCCGCTAATCAATTTACATCCGGCACTCTCATCCAAGTGACCCTTAGAAACATCTAACTACTTCCGAAATTTCCAGGCACCTCCAACAAAAACTAGAATTCGCTGCCTCTTCCAAGCAAAAACCGAAGGAATTGGCCGGCAAGTTGAAACAACAGCTAATCAAAAGAAAGCCTGACAAACACTCCGAAAACAACTGTAAAACACAGCACAATCCAATGCCACCTCCAGCAAGAAAGAATTCGAATCCAGTAACAAAACCCCAGCCAAGCCCCCACAACCCATACTCATTAAGACCGGCAACTTTCACCCTTAAACAGCTACCCACCCACCAATCACGAAACCCCCACCAGGCAACCAACACCTACAAAAAGTCAAGCTGTTCAAACCCGAAAAACCGACTTACAAAACAAACAACCGTCCTCCCCAACCAACCTCAAATGTCACAGTCCCTCCAAATGTCAAGTCGTGACATTCCACGTCGCTCATAAGGCTGAATTTCCAAAATTGCCGACATTACCAACCGCCTTCGGGAATCGAAAGCTATAAATTACGAACTACTCGGACAACCATTATATAAACAACATTAATAATGTTTACTTTCTCTTCTCTTCAACATAGACTCAACGAAATGAACATAACTTCCAGCAACAAAAAACATCATAATAAGCCCAACAACAACCACAAAAAATCTTAGACCCAGTTTTATAGACAATTTGAAAAACTCGACCTATCAGTAGCGACTAACCACTTTATTGCAAACCTTTTGACAGAATTCCTTAAACTGCAGCCCTCTGTCTCATTTCCTACCGAAAAACAACAAAACCAAAACGCTAGTGAAACAAAATCAGTAAGGTGCAGGTCGAAAAGTTATAAATGTTGACTCAGGAAATACAATGCCCATAATGCCACTCATCCGTACCTTCAACCACTGTTTGAAACCTCATCCGACAAAATGCTTAATAGCAAGACTCCAGTTCCGCACAGGAAATAGGAAGAACAATAAATAACTCTAAATGACACTCTGGAACACAGATACAAGTAATATATGCAGTTACAAAGGCACGAAATTTAGAGCCAACAGGAACTTCAATTTCAATAATACGCGAACAAAGACACCTTGAAGGTTACGACAAGTGGCAAAACAAGGACAGGTCCAAACAGCGAAAATTTCATTGAAAAACAGAAAATTTCTCTTAAAATAAGCCGACCTCACATTCTATCAAGGAAATTATCCAAACCGGGCACTTGGTCTTTCAAGCCCTTACGCTTACGAGTCTCCATCACGACTTGGGCAGGTTTCGTGTTAGGTTCCATTGGATCACCAGGAAGTATTTGCCAGTGGTCGAACACGCACTGTGGGAAAGCTTGTCCTCCGGTATTTGAACGAAGGTCAGCAGTGAAACCTAAAAAGAGCGGAAGCGCCATAAACGACAATGAAACCAAACAACACCAAAAGAACCTAAAAACAAGTTTACAGCACTCACCGAAAGACTCATTTACAGGAAGATAAGCTTTAACAACAAACATGGGAGTCCCCGCGACCTGTGATTCCTCAAACACATGCCCACGACGACGATTAAGTACACCATAAATACCTAGAAGCAGAGCACGTAAACAAACAAAGCCAAAAAAAAAACATCCTTCAAGCAGAGTAGAAATATAAAAACCTCCAACTGCACTCTCCGGGCACTGGATCTCCACCAGATACACTGGCTCCAACAGGCGAGGCTGAGCGGTTAAAACACAGGCATATAATACACGTCTAGCAGTTGGAATAATCTGTCCGCCACCCCTATGAATAGCATCGGCATGAAGCGTAACATCATGGATATTAAACCGAATACCTAAATGAGAAAGATGACGATCACAAAAAGGGAGTGAGTATTGAAAAAGATACCTCTCATATTTTCATCACACAAAACTCCTTCTTTTGTAGCCCACTGAAAACCAGCAACGACCGAATCCTTGATTTCGTTCAAGTACTGTACGCCCTTCGTCACATCCACCAATATGTTTGGACCAGTGCCGTCTGGACCAAAACACCAAATCTTGCGAGCCTCCGTCACATCATAATCAAATTTCTCAGCCATAATTTTTGCTCGTGCCTAACCAATACAAGAGTTTTCAAAACCATTTTTGGATAAATTGAATGAGAGATGATTATCATTCAAACAAACCTTGAGCTCATCTCGTGCGTTAATCACACCCTTATCAATAGCTTCAGCAAGCCCATCTGGCATAGGTACTGCTTTTGCAAACAAACGGTTATGCTTGTTTGGTGACTTAGAAAGACACAGCTGTTCAGATTCCTCGCTCACAGTTTCTCTTAAAAGCAATCAATGAAAATGGAAGTCACCTCACAAACCATACAGTGGCGTCTGAATAAAAATTATTCAAACCTGTATGAAACGACAGGATCAGATTTTTTGATAGGGATGCAAGCATGGTCTTCTTCCAAATCTTTCAAACAAATTTCTAAATGTAATTCACCAGCACCAGCGATAATATGTTCACCAGATTCTTCAAATATACACTGCACCATAGGATCTGACTTTGCCAAACGTTTAAGACCTTCTACCTAAAAAAAAAGAAAATCAAACATATATTTCATGAAATAACACGAGCAGTACCGACGGTCATAATACAAAACGACCACTCACCAATTTTGGCAAATCACCGGGATTCTTTGGTTCCACAGCAACTCGCACGACTGGCGATACTGAGAACTTCATAACACGCATGTTGTGGGCATCTTTGAAAGTTGTAATTGTACCTCCCTTAACCAGATACTGGTCAACTCCGACAAGACCAGCAATGTTTCCTGAAGGTATGTCCTCAATTGGTTCAACAGTACGTCCCATCATAAGAATTGTGCGTTGAATAGTTTTCTCATACAGATCGTCCTTTTTCCCAGGAGTATAATTAGGGCCCTGAATCCTCGCTTTCATTCCGGTAGCTACCTGTAAAAAGCCACACTAAATACCTCAAGAACAAATAATGACAACTTTTATTATCCGGACAGGAATGTAACATACTGCCTCTAAATTCTGACACCTCTATACAAAAAAATACCTTTCCCGAAAAAACTCGGCCAAAAGCATAGAATCGCCCTTTATCAGACGTCGGAACCATCTTACTAACATACATCATAAGTGGCCCGTTAGGATCGCAATTTTTGATTGCTACAGCCGCTTCGTCATCAAGTGGACCCTCATAAAGCATTTCCATACGGTATTTTTGAGCGGTTACTGGAGACGGTAAGTGAATACAAATCATCTGAAGCATAGTATCTCCTGCTGGTAGCCACTTCCTCATCATAACCTGCAACAAAGTATAAAAAATTATAGTGAAACTGCTACAAAGACTTGAAAAAATAAATGAGAGAGACTACACTAGACAAACGCACCTTCATCAATGGTTTTCCCTCCAAATCCTTCTCATCAGGAGCAAGCTTAACACCCAGCTTATCAAGCAGTTTGGCAGTCTCATCCTTCTTTACATTCATTATGGCATCAAATACTTTGAAGATAGGATCCAGGACAAACTGTACAAATCCACGCCTACTGTCAGCATCCTGCTGTGACGACCACTTCTTCGTCTTTAAGTTGAAAAAACGATCTCCCCACAAATTTCGCATCAACTTTTCTACCTGAATTCAAAAACCAAACATCGTTAGCAGCTAAAAGAGACAACTAAATTATAATTAATACAGCCCCGCAACAGCAAAACTTAATACAAAAAAACGGTGAGAAAACAATACTATACAACCTCTTCCCTAAGTAATTTACGAAAACGTTCAGTGAAGGTATTATTCCACAACATAGTTGAAAACATACTTGAACACCGAATTTGTCAGCGTACATTTCAGCGAATTGCTTCAGAGTAAAAGCCCATCCGTGTAATCCTGAACCAAAACCAACATTGCCAACTGCTGGGTCAACCATTATAGGCCCCATTGGACCATCATCATCGCCATATGTAGCAATGATGACATTGATGTTTTCAACGATACGCTGGAATGTTTGGTATAATTCTTCTTGACCAAGCTGAAGCTCTAGTAGTGCGCGATCCATTTTATTCATGAACAATACAGGTTTTATACGTTCCGCAATCGCCTGACGCAACACAGTCTCGGTCTGCACACAAACACCTAAAAAAACGTGACTGAAATGCAGAAAATGATGTCATCTATATCAACTACAAAAAAAAAAGAAAAAAAAGGCTAACGTTTTCGTAAAAAATAAATGTTGGTCAGACCTATATGGATGACATATGTTATGTCATTCACGACATTACTAAACTATGCTTTAGCGTGATTCCGACACTCGATAGTGAAAAATTATCACACCGAGCTCTAAATTACGCAATTTTTTTTGAAGATGGGGGGGAGGGGGGGGGAAGGAATAAATGAAGTTAACAACAGTACCATATAAGAATAAGTGATTAATCCAGCTACTCACCAGAGACACAATCGACAACAACAAAAGCACCATCAGTAACCCGTAATGCAGCTGTTACCTGAAAAAGTACCACGACTTTCATTAAACACAGCCGAAAACTAGGAGAATAATTAGTAACTATTCTTTATTTAATAAAATGTTCATCGCATGGTTTTCCCCAACAATCACTGGTTCATAGAACCTATGTCACGATTAGGAATATGCGAAGTAATCCGGGCATCTTCTGCTGAAGCGCCACACAGATATTTATTCTTCGGTATGGCAGACTGAAACTCACTTTACAGAAAGTGTTCTATTTTCTGCCAGCATGGAAAGCAATAGCTTTACTTGAAAACTAGTGCAATCCCAGCTAAATACCGTTTGGACATCTAGTGAAAGAAACAAAACTAACTTCACTGGAGAAATCTACATGGCCCGGTGAATCAATCAGGTTAATTAAGAATTCGTGTAACTTTTTCTTCTCACCATTGACTACGTCAATTTCATATTGATTTTCTCCTTTGATGAAGTCAATATCTTTATCTCCCAACTCGAAGAAAAGGGAAATAGCCCTAGAAGAAGCAAGTTAGGCCCAACACACACATACAAAAAAAAAAAAAAAAAAAACTGCGGGAGCGAAAATGCTCACGTTGATTTGATTGTAATACATCTTTCTTGCTCATCTTTCCTTGTATCCGTAAACCGAGTTTCCCCAGCTTTCGCTCCAGCAATAATACCAGCTTTAGATACTAACGAGTCAGTCAGCGTTGATTTTCCTAATCGAGGAAAATGGTAAAAACCTCTTGACTATTGAAAGCCAAAAAAAAGAATAAAACATAAAAAGGTGATTAGTTCAAAAGACTATTAATTTACTGCATACAGCAAAACCCTAACCAGCTCCTTTAACGAGTGTACTATGTAAACAGTCAGACTACATAAATGAGAAAAGAAAAAGATAAATGAATAACCATGATCTACATGTGCAATGACCGACATATTGCGGATATTCCGCTTACGATTCATGATCGCACGGATCTCATCGATGGTAAAGTTGACCTGAAAAACAACTAGTGTAAAATCTTACACTTAAAAAAGCACCTCACAAACTGTACAAAAAAAAAACTACAAAAAATGATGGGTAAAAACACCCAAGTCGTAATGTAACTATGTTGAATAGTAAATTCTGCAGTTTGGAACATTCTTTAATTTTCTTTTCTTTTTTGACATTAGAATATCCTTACTAGTTTAACAACAAATACTAGTTGACTGGCATAAATGCGGCATAATGATTACATAACGAATGAGTATAAAGTTACTGTGATTTAACCGTCAGTACAGCAAGGAAATGATCAAATTGAAGAAAAACAATTCAAACAGTTTACATCGATCAGTAGAACACTTACCATTTTGCGTCTATAACCTTAGCTTCCACTACCTTACAAAAATGGAAATACACAACACAGAACAATATCCGGCCGGCACACTTAAGGCGGCTGTGACTTGCAATGACTGCAACTGCGATACCCTTTCAAATGTCGAACTGTTAAATAGAGCCAAGTTGTCATAGGTAGTGACAGCTTTTCCAAACTTTAGATTACGATCGGCGGGAATTCAAACACACTGTCAGCGACTAGCACTCTTGCAGTTTTTTTTTTTT